CAGAAAGTGGAAATGAAAGCAGACAACAGAACATTGCTAGAGAGCAGGAAAGGAGGTGAAAGGAGACAATTTTAGAGAAGAAAATTTATCGGTCGCGGGACCTTTGAATGAAAGGCCAACACCTGTCTCTAGGCCACGAGAACCCCCAAGTGGGTGGTTGGCGGGTGCTCTGGTGTGGTTTGCTCTTTCTTTCCTATAAAAAAAATCTATAATCTCTATCTCCCCTCCTTCTTTTTTGTGTTTGTTACTCTCTTGTAACACCTCTAGTCTTCAGCACTTATATGACCTTATTGTGTTGCAAGTGCCTTCAAACTCTAACTAAAATAAATTTTAAAAACTCAATAAAACATCTCCATCGACGACAACAGTGATGGTGGGCGGGAGGTTGGCGGATGCTCTGGTGTAGTTTACTCCTTCTTTCCTATCAATCATTCATATAGATATATCCTCCTTTTTGTGTTTGTATTCTCTTGTAACACCTCTTATGCTAAATCTTCGGCGCTTACATGACCTAGTGTGTTGCAAGTGCTTTAAAACTCTTACGAAACTAAGTGCTGGTCGTTGCAGGGCTTCACTCCCCCTCCCCCCTTAATTTCCCTCTGGAACGTTGTTGTTTCTGTCTGTTTTTCTTACTTTTTCCCTCGTCCTAAATTATTGTTATTGTGTTGATCTGAGCGAGCATGTCTTTGCTAAAAAGAAAAGGACCTTGCTTTAAAAAACAAAAACCGTAAAACCTCTACTAAAACGAAAACAAAAAGAGCAACAGGAACAGCAAAAACAACAACGATAGCGACGTCGCCCCCAGCAACAGCAACAACAACAACCACTTCTTCATGGGGGGCCGTGGGTGTGGCATCGATGTGTCACGGGAGGGAAGCTGTGATTTCCTCTCGGACGGAACAAGATCCACACGGCCTCCGCCTAAAAAAATGGACATTCAAGACAAGCATCGCCCTGTGGTCTGAGCCTCGTGTGTATAATAAAGCAGACTCGCTGTCTCATGCTGCAGACAAGGTCTCTTTTATCATCATTACCCTAGCCAGGATGTTGGGGATTTTTTTTTTCTTTTTCGTTTTTGTTTTTGTTTTTTTCCTCCCGCTATATTGGCATGCCTGCCTGCCTGCCTGCCTG